GTAGTAGTAGTAGTAGCAGCAGCTGTCTGGGCTCCCACTCTGGCACAACTCTCTCTGTCTACAAATCTTGAGCACACTCGTGGACTCTTGCACATCCCGCGTACCAACCTCGACTAGCCGTAAGACGATGGAAATCCAGCGGTGAAATGCAAACGCCGCTGTAATTTAGGGTGCTGAAGAATCAGAATTGGATTTTGGTTATACTATACCGACTGGATGTCTCACGGCGCCTGGCAACCAGCGATGACTACTGTCGTCTTGGGCCGCCAGGAACCTTCCAACCTTATTCTTTCCTCTAGGAATCTGGAGGAATGTGTGGAAGTGCTAAAAACTGTGGGTTTGCCTGTCAAGCAGCGCTCATGCAACGCCCATGCGACACATGCAGCGCATCCACACCCTCGCAGCCGTCCGAAAACCTCTTATTGAGCGTTTTGCTCACTGGAATCAGCAAGCTTGCAGATTTTCAGACTCTGCAAGACAAATGCTCCAAACTCTAGTTTGCCAAGGGCCGTTGCACTGTTGCATGTGCTGTTGCATGAGTGGTGCATGAGCATTGCATGAAAGCCACACAGCTTTGGGTCTTCGATATGGTCCTATATAGGGCTTTCGGCGTGATCTTGCATGACAACCCTAATCCCTGAACCCTAAACCCCAAATCCCAAAACCCTACAAACCTTCCCTTACTAAACCCTAAACCCTACACCCTAAACCCTAAACCCTAGAACCTAAACTTAACCGTCTTGTGCTGCTCCGGGAGGAGCCTCCCTGGAACGCTGGTGCTGCTTTATTTCAACAGCCCACAGAAACCCAAAGCTAAAAATCTCAGATTTCTAGCAAACTGTAAGAACCCAAAAGGGTTTAGGGTGTAGGGTGTAGAGTTTGGGTCGGGTCATGTGCACGGACCCCAGCTGGGTATAGGAAAACTAATGAAAGCGAGAGCTAGACACCAAGGGGCCTTAGACGTGGATGATATCTTGCGCCACTTTCTCGTCAAACCCGTAACCCGTTAGGACTTTAGGGGTCCAGGCTTTGGGGTTTAGCGACTTTGAACGCGGTGCCGGGAAGGCACAACTGATCTGTTCGAACGATCAAAAATCTTGGACCGCATGTCAAGCAAGACGTGCCAACACAGAAAAGAGGGTTCAGGGTTGCGCACCGAAATGTTAGAACGGTCGCTTATGCAGGTGGTTCAAGAGTTCGTCCGTCCACCGTACCGTGATTCTATCAGGAGAACTAGGCACTACAAGGGTATAACAAAGGTCAATCTTACACTCCTAGGATCCGCATGATGCAGATCAAAGTCCACGGTCTGGCTGTGCCCCGTCGTGGAGACACGTGCCCTCACAGGTGCACACTGTGCTTCCAAAGCCGCTTTTTACATTGCACTGCAGCGTTGAGGATTTTTAGGGCGTGGGCTTTAGGCAGGGCGTTACCATAGCAAGGCAGGAACTCATTCTCATGCGGATCGTGCTGATTCAAACTGGACGTCCAGTCAGGGCAGGAGCTTCACGGAATGACTTCCTCCAGAAAGGACTTCACAGATTAGGGGTTTAGGGTTAAGGGTTTAGGGTTTAGGGGTTTAGGGCTTAGGGTTTAGGGTTTAGGGTTTAAGTTCGATCAAACCCCTACGTCGGTCCACCCGTCGACAAGCTAGGAAGAAGACCGGCCGGGATTCTCCCTTCCGGAATCCTTTTGGGCTTTGGAAGCTGCTTGAATCAAGGGGTTGCTGGAGGAGCTGTCCAAGCAAAGGCTACCTTCGGGCTAAGGGGCTACGGCCATGCCAAACGAACAATAGTTCAAGCAGGCATTTCTTTGTTTTGGGGTTGAGATTTTTCCGACTTGACAAACAGAGGCACCCCTTCTTGGGGCATGGTTCGCATGGCATGTCCCGGCGATGGTGAAACTGCAATGGATTTTTTTGCGAGGACTTTTGGCAGCCCTTGGGTTGCATGTATGACAAAGCGAACTTTCAGCCGTGTCGCTTAAATTAAATTTAAACATACCAGCATCATGGCAGCATCTTGCTCTGCTCTCACTGAGCGCGTGGACCAGCCTGCGGCTTAGGGTTTAGGGTTTAGGGTTTAGGGTTTAGGGTTCAGGGTTCAGGGTTTAGGGTTTAGGGTTTAGGGTTAAGTGCACTTGGGCAGGGCTGTACTAGACAGGCTGACCCTGTGAATGTATACCCCTCCTGCTTGCAATGTGCAATGAAAGTCTCCGAGCCTGCAAACCCAGTAGTCTTCACGCGTATTCATCGGTGTTGTGGAAACTGCACTATAGAAGCTTACCAGTAGTATTCTTCGGGCTCCCTATCAAGATTCTACCCTAAACCCTAAACCCTAAAAACCCCATAGCCTGATTGTAACTAAGAGGCAGCAGCGGGGGTCGGCTTTTTGTTCTACAGGGTCTACAAGCCTCAAAGAAAGCCAAGCAGGACGTGTAGAAGATGGAGGCTCTCCATACCCAAATATGGTCTATGTGCGTCAGGATGTCAAACGGCGACATTTGGGGTTTAGGGTTTAGGGTGTGCATCCTGTCTTCTGATGCTGTTAACAGCATTAGTACGCCTGCCGATATCGCCGCAGCTCTGATTTGCTAACCATGATTGCCAATATCCCTACCATGATCGCTCCTGTTTTTCTGCCTTTCTCGATATCATGACTGTCAGCACTCTTCGTTCTGAGTTCTTGATCGTCCTGCTGCTGGCAGTATGATCGTACTCATGGGTACACTCCTCTTCATCCACATCGCCTATGCGTACTTTCTGCACAATCTGCATGATTGTCCTTACCATCGTTAAATATTAGCCGTAACTGTCCATTAGAATCAGTACCCTGGCCCTAAACCACAAGCGCCAAATTCCTGAAGAGCCCATACCCTGGTCATCTCCATCCTTGTACCGTTGGGTATGCAGGGTATGCAGCTACCAGGTGGCTGCCTCAACCCCCGAGACCCTATGCCCAAAAACCCTAAATCGCTAGAAATCTAAACCGAGAAATCTGCGAGTGCGCCACCCTAAACCCTAAACCCTAAACCCTAAACCGACAAGATCTGACGTCGAGTCTGTTTGGAGAAGAGGCCTCGTGGGGCTAAGGGTTTACAGCTTTCAAGATCAACTCCAAGCCTTGGAAATCCCCCTGATTTGGACGGTGTTTGGGTTTAGGGTTTAGGGTTTAGGGTTTAGGGTTTAGGGTTGACGGTGTTTGGAACGGGTCCGTTCTTAAGGGTTGGGGCTTTTGCTTTTGGATTCAGGGCCTATCAATACGTTGTCCAAACTTGAAGACTCCAGCAATGCTACAGGTACTAGGAGGTTCATGGGCAGTTATAAGTAGGGTTATAAGTTCCATAGCATGGGTGATAAATACAGTTGACCTTACTTAGAAACCCAGTTACAACCCGTGAACCTTCAAGTAGTATTTGATATTCTTGCTCCGTTCCTTGCAGCTTTGGGGAATCCTGAGATCAAAGCTTGAGGAGACCTCGATTTGGGCTGACCTCTCAACAAACAAGCACTTATGTTGGCCTCTTGACTTGCTGTCTTGTGACCGGGTTGGGTACCCAAGAACAGGCATGTCTTAAAATCCCGCGTCACGTCCTTACTTCAGCCCTCAACAAGGACTTCTTCAGTGACATTCTCAGTTGCCTCAGCTCCAACCCAACTTAAGTCTAACTTGTAACTCCTGCGTACCAAGTCCTTCAAAACAAATCTGCTGGGCCTTCATCAGCTGTACCGCCACCGCGGGCCCTCGCATCCAGGTGGTGTTATCCAAGACGCCATCGGCAAAAAGACACAGATCAAGAAGACGATCACGATCATAAATGGCACAGCTGCGATATCCTGGGGACAGAAACGATATTCCTTGGTTTCCTTAGTGTAATAGGCAAATAAATAAGTACCTATCTATCTAGGTGTCTATCTATAATTATGTCCTATCCACATACACCCCAACACCCACTTCTAAGTATTTTAAGCGAGGGTTTTGCGTTGCAAGCTCTTGGGCTGTTCAGCCTGGATTGCTTGACAGAGTACCTCTGCTGACGGGTCTTATTACAGAATTGGGCACGGAAAGACAAAAAAGCTACTGCTGTCTATTCTTTGGCTCAGTCGTCTCGGCTCAGTTGGACCGTCTGCAACATTTCGACATGATGACAGCCCCGATAACGATGACGATGCTGATGATGATGCTGCTGATGCTCATGACGATGGTCATTGCGGTGCTGATGACAACGACCAGGACGAAGATGATCATCATAATGGCAGTGGTGAATATGGTGGCGATGAAGATACCCCATGATGTTGATGCTGTGATTCTGTTGACGGTACGCAGAGGTGCCGGTGATGATGTAAAAACCTTGTGTGAACTGAACCTGCTGATGAACATGAGGTTACAGCAGGAGGCAGAGGCAGCTGCTTGGCAGCTGCTTGCTACGACGCGAGGGCTCCACGACTTTGAGACATGTGTTTCAATTACTTAGGAGGATCATGGGACTTAGTAGGTAAGGCTATAAGTCCCCTAATTGGGGTTATAAGTATAGTTACCTTAGTTATAACCCTACTTACTAAGTCCCATGATCCTTTAAGTATGAGTGCTCAGCTGCATGCAGACTTGCAAACCCTTTACCGCGAAGCCTTTAAAGCTTTCTGCGGGCCAAGACGCGACAACGCTCGGATTGCTCGCCGGCTTCCTCACAGGAACAGGAGCCCCCTATGCGGTGATGACTGCAGGACTGAATCGAATAAGGTGACTGACAAGGGAGAGGCGTGTATACACACATATACACAACTTCGAATAGCATAAACGGCAAGTGTGGCTATGCAGAACCGTAGTCTGATTGTTTTTAGTGACATGCAGGCATAAAAAGATCGAACATTACTGTGACAGAAAGCAACCTGAAGTGACGACCAGTAATGTGCAGAAGGTTCGTGCGTGTATACATATACATATACATACATATACATATATATATTTTATGTTGCCCTTCAAAGATCCACGCGTTTCTGTCCGTTTTGATCTCTTCATATCCCGTCCCCGCTTTTCTGCTCTTCATGTCCTTTGTATGTCTGTTCCTCCACTTAAATACCACAACCTTTAGCAAACACAAAATATATGGTGTGTATATATATATATACCATACATATATATAAGCATGTCATAGACAGGTGCTTGAATATAGGTACACACACATGCATATATGCATCTAAAAATACATATGCATATACATATACATCTACATATATATATATATATATGCACACTCCCCAGACCACCAACGGTAGATCATGGGGGGGCGAGCATATATATATATATATATATATATATATATGGCTGTGCGCTGTGCGTTCTCCCCCCTCCCGCATGGTATCCCCCCAGAAAACACAGGTCTGCAGCCTTGGGCGCCTTTGCAGAGGGCCCCTGTTTCAGACAGAGACAGGGAGGGGGAGGGGGACTAAACTCCGAAGCTCAACACCCCAGCCGTTCCACAGCGGGGAGGGGGATGATCACAGGCACAACCATTGAAAGAAGACCTAAACCAAACCACACAACCATTCCACACGCAAGCTCAAGGCGCAAAACCCTAAACCCTAAACCCTAAACCCTAAACCCTAAACCTTCAACCCCAGCCGTTCCACAAGGGGGAGGAGGGGCTCAAGGCCCCAGCTGTTCCACAGGAGGGAAAGGGACATGACCAAACGGGGGGAATACCATTGAGGAGGGGCGGCGGAGCGCAAACATACACATACATATATATATA